GAGAGAGAGAGAGAACAAAAGTAGCATAACCATATTTTCTACCGAATAATTATCGTTGACCGTAGATTATATCGTCGCAGATGATTTCGATAGTGAGCCTCAATCTGTCACTATTAATGCTACTACGTCACTCGTTGATTAAATTGCAACTTTACACTTCACGAAACCAGTTTCTTTTTTCTTTTTCTTTTTTTTTTTCTTCTTTTTCTTCTTCTTCTTTTTCTCTATCAAAACGAACAATTAATCAATCGTTGCGACAAGTATCGAATATTTATAAACGATATCCCACGTGGCTGGTTCACATATGGGCACAACACCCATTCCCCATTCTTATTCAGGAATACACTGGTATACCAAGAGTATTGTTAGAAAATACACAGGGTACACTCGCGAATCAAAGCTCAAGCCTAGAGGGACAGGCCTAAGGAACAATTTTTTCGAAGAGACCTAATCAAAGAGACCTAACTTTTAGACCTTAACCGGATGCCTAAAACTGGGAAAACTTCTAATCGTAGCCTAACTTTTTAAATCCTTAAACGATTACACGTCTAGCTGTAATTTTACTTGTGCCTATTTCAAACCTAACCTAACTGTTCGGGACCTAACTCTCCAGATCTATACAGCGCGCGCGCCTAAGGCTTTCTATTTTATTCGAGGTGAATCTCTGTCACGAGTGATTCGTAGCCTTTTTGGTGACACGAAATATATATATATATATAAAAAAAAAACGTACGTTATTGCTTGATAAGTATCCAGACATTTTCATTCTATTTTTGACAAGTGAGGGATTGGATTGAAGTGAAGAATGATTGGGGATGTTGTTGAGTAAATTTTGATTTTGTTTTTATTAAAGAATCGAATAGAATAACTGGATCAAAAGTGTCTTATTATCAAACTTATCAAAAACGATCCAGTGATCGTATTATAAATGTTAAAGTAATGGTCCGAATTAACGAAGTTGATCTTTTTCAGGTTAATGGATGGAATGTTGTAAATTTCAATTTTCTAATTAATTTTCTATTAATCGAAGAATCAAAGAAATTTTTCTCGATATTTTTTGTTGTTATAATTGACAGTTCAAGATGTTTCGCATAATTTTTTCTCCCATTTCTCGACATTTAACTCCATCTAGAAATATTATGCCTTTCTTTATTCAACGCATATTTTATATCGTATTCTCTTGTTTATATATTCTCTTGCCAGCCATCCCCCTCATCTTTACATAGTACGTGCTTTGTACGAATTGCGGGGCTCAGTGGGAAAAATTGCGCAAGTATATTTTTCTTTTTTCCTTTTCACAAAAACAAGATAAGGGGAAAATTCTGCACGTAAAGTTCATATTTATCCGGAGAAAAAATGGTGCAAACGTTCTCGAAATAATAATAAACAAAATCTTGTGATGAATCAGGATTTGAAAATGTTTGAAAATTCTATGATTTTCAATTATAAATGTTATAAATGTCAAATTATCGACGTGAATTCAGCACGTAGAATTTTTTTCGGGGGAAAAAAAAATTGGGAAATCGTTCTGGATACTTTCGAGCTTGTAACGTGTCTTCGCTAAAAAAAAAATTAGACAAATAAGCGCAAGGACATATATGCTTCTTCGGCGTTCGAACGCACCCTTTTCGTTAATCCTTTGCCTTATGGATTCCTTTTCTTACCTTAATTATTCTAGCGCTTGATCTGGCTATTTCGATCGTATTGGATCTCAGTGGTTCTCAACCTCTGATTTAACCTACTCAAAAATCACTTTCGCACATTTTTAATTCAATTCGAAAATTAAGGAAGCGTGATCCTGGTAAAAATGAAAATTTTCAATTTTCTTTATTCGCTAAATGCGAAACGAGAGAAGGATGAGTTATTCGAATATTGTAAAAAGGGGGATCATAAGACGTTATTTGAATATTATAGAAAGAAGTCACGCAACTTATTTGAATATTACAAAATCGGGGATCACATCCGCGAAGAAAAAAAATTTCTCCAAATTTTCTTTCACAAAAGAATTGCAAATTGTTGCAAACATTACAAATTGTTCGAATATTACGAAAGAAAGAGGGTTGCAACTCAAGAAAAACTATTTTAATCATCCTAAAGGAAGGAGAGTTACAAACTGGAACGAAATATTGTTTAAATTTTTCTTCGTTCAGAGTAACAGAGGCATTATTTGAATACAATGAATGGCAAAATCATAAGAGAAAACTAGCTACACATATCAGACAGTGCATGATATCGAAACATTGTATAATCTTAAATCATTAAATTTTCGAGAATTTAAGGAATTATGAGATAAATGAGTTTGATACAATTGACAATTCCTGCCAGCCAGTGTGACCCGACGTTATAAGGCAGGGGGTTAACGATTAAGCACGTCCTCACATATCATTAATTGATTATCCATGCGTCGTTGAAAACTTAATGTTAGGATTAGTGCCTCGGCGTTGAAACACGCTCGATCCATTTCGCGACCTCTATCCATAGAAGAGGGCAGCCGGTTTTTTTCCAGCGAATCGATCAATCGAAACGATTGAAGTTCGACGATCGATTAAAATCGGTGCTTTTTTGAAGGAGAAAATTGATCGATTTTAACTTTCGCGTCGAAATTCGAGGGATGACGCAATTAAAATTATATAGCGGAATTTAATATATCGAGTTTTTGGATGTTGTCGATGTTGAATCGTTGGAAGGGTTCGTAGCATTTGTGACAATCGATGGAGATTAAACTTCGTTTCGAAATTTTTTCTTTTTTTTTTTAAAAGGTTTTTTTCTTTTTAAGGAGATTTACATTTATGACAATTGACGGTGAATGATCGGTGAATATCGAATAATTTCGAGATCTTCGAACTCGAAAGTTTTTTCGAAATTCTCCAAATCCAAAAGGATTCTTCTTTTTTTCTAGAAAAAATTTGTAAATTTGTATCTCCAAATTCTTCAAATTTTTGAAATCTGTTATATGGAATATGTTAGAATAAAAATTTAATATTTTTATTACAGGAATTTGAAAAAATTTCGAAATTTTGTTTTGAATTTTTCAAAAAAAAAAAAAAAAAGGAATTTCTTCTAAGAAAATATTCACATGAAAAAGAACAATGGATGAAACTATAACAAATTCTACAAATTCTTCGAATACGCGATTTAACGTTAAATATTATTCTAAATCCACGAGCCAATGTCGATACGGGAGAGAGGATTAAACAGTTTCCTAGTTTCTCAAACTTTTCCTCCATTCCATCGAGATCACCGTTTCTCTTCCATACAGACGAGAGTTGAAAATGTTCGACAAAATTATTAATCATTTGCCCCTCGTATGGAAAGTTTGGTTACCGAAATGGGTCAATATTTGTTGTTTAGATAGTTTGTTCCTGCGTGTGCAGCTCATGATAATATAATTGATCGATGCGCTCGAAATGTGCGAACAGTTCTGATTCCTTTTTTTGGAAAACGATCTATATGCAAACGAATCCCTTTTCTTTTTTCTTCCCCATTCATCGATTTCTTTTCGATTCCTCGAATGTTTGTTTCAGAAACAAAATTTTCTTTTCTACCTTCTTCCATCCACTATGTATTTTCCGTACTTTCTTCTTTTCAAAAGCGAGGGGGGGAGGGGGAGGAGGGGGAGGAGGAGGGAGGAGGGGGGGTGTGTGGCGAGAATGTCTAACAAAGCCGTGTCTACGTTGTACACATTATATATATACGAGAAAGTTACAGGTTATCTACAATATGAGCCAATAATGTAAAAAGTGTTTAAATTTATTATGATTGAATAAAAAATATGTATCATAATGTATGTATAGAATTTAGAGATAGAATTTTAAGGGATGTGGATTGGGATGCAAAATATTTCAGAAACTCGTTACAAAAGCTGAGCCAAGTTGTTTTGGAAACAAATTTATTGTAGACACAGCTTAACAGTCTACCTACCTACTCTCTAATTTGAATAGAAAATGAAGGTGTATAAGAGTCGTGTTCATATGTAGTGGCAAGTAGAAAGTAGTTTTAGAACAAGCGTATCCAGTTGCAATTACAATACCAGTTTGCAAGCTCAAAAAGTTTCAGAGCAACAATAATTGGTTTTTAAATCTGGAGAAGCAAAATAAGCAAAATTGATAGTTTGCACTTGGGAAAGATGATGGTGATATTTGATAAAAAAAAAAAAAAAGAAGGTATATTTAGATACATTTTTAAAATATTGAAACATATTTCTATATTTTAATTCCAATGCTGATAATCTTTTTATTTGTAAGAAAGATCAGAATCCACTGTATTTTAATCCTATTAAACAATTTATTTTTACCAAACTTATCCTTATAATTCCAAAAACTAAAGCACACTGCACCTAATTTGAAACTTTTATCTATATATATTATCTTCTTTGCTATTATAACAATAATATAATTTATTTTCATTTTTCGTCCAATTTTATTTATCTGTTATACATTTCTTCGCTACGATTTTCTCTGAAGACAATTTTCTTGTAAATCTCTTTATTCCTTAGTAAAAAAAAAAAAAAGAAAAACAAAACTCGAAACACAAAATTTCAAGATGTATGGCAAAGTATAATAATTGACCACGAAAGCACGAAAGAAGAGAAATATTGGCAAAAATAATAATCTTAATAACTTAAAAAAATTCTATTTAACATTTTTAAATTGATCTGAAACTTTTGTAGCGCGCCATACGCCTCTTGAGGGAGGGAGGAAGGGGGATGGAGAGAGAAACGTTGACAAACAAGCAACGAAAACGTTAAACATAAAGCCTCTAACTTCGCAAGAGAACGATTCACGAAGAGACGAAACGCATTTCTAACCAACTCTGAATCGGCTTAAATCGTTTCTAAAGATTGAATGAAAAATATACACGCGTATTATTCGTACACACACACACACACACACACATGTGCACATTTTAGTTTTCTAGATTGTTCCGCGTTGAATAAGAGCAGGGACGAAAGAGGAAACTTGGAAAGGAAATGCTGCAATGGCCGTTGCAAAAAAAATTCACGATTTTAACAAATCGGCGAAGAGAGAATAATTTTTCTCCTCTATTTTTTCATTCACAGAGAATAATTGAAGGATGCGAGGAAGGGAAAAATGTGGATCGATCGTTTGCCTTACGACTCGTGAATTTAACTTGAATATGAAAAGAAGGAGAAGAATTAGGAATTGAACGTTTGAGGATTAATTTAAAGTTGACATCGTGGAAAATAGTTTCAATAGTTGTGAAATGAACTGGTGAACTGTTTGTTCACAAATTTAATTTTTCTTCAATTTTAAGGTTAACCTAACCTGACTTGTTGTTGGCAGAAGTGAAGATTCAAGTGGGTATAGTTTTAAATGGGCAGATTGGATCATTGATGAGTCATTTTCTGAAATAAAATTTCAATCGCGGGTAGATCTCTTGATTAATTAATCCTATATTTATATTTTCAATTAAATTTGTTTAAGGATAGAATGGAAATTTATCCTTGATTCTTCTCCAAATATTTTCATAAGTTTAAATCTACATTAAAAAAAAAAAGTCGTATTTACAATGGTTTTTAATAAAACAATTCCTATTTTTCTTTCATTAACTTATTATCATTCGATATATTTACTACCAATTTTCTACTACATACTGAAATTTGCAGGAACATTTCAATCGATCGACTCGTCCAAGGATTAATAATCGTCCCACTCAGAAATCGAAGTTAAAGTTACAGTCTAAAACTAACTAAACTTGATCGCAACACAATCCTCCTTTAGAGAGAGAATCTGATGTTGATCTCATATACGCGACAAAGGGTTAACAAACTGCCAATAAGGGGATGAAGATCGAGAAAGGAAGATGGATGGAAAAATAAAAAAAAAATAAAAAAGAATAATGGTAGGAATCGAGCGTGTGGTGGTCATTTCGCTAATTAAATAACTCGATGGTGCGTGAATGCTGTTTCATTTCACCGTTGTGTTCGCAGCGGTTTTCGTTCAACATCGATGCTTTGCCATGCGTGCGTCGATATGTTGCACTTTCTCACGGTGGACGCGTGAAAACCAATACCGTGAAATTCTCGTTTTCTCTCAACCGATTAATTAAGGATTCGTCGATTTTATATTTTGAATTTAAAATTTTTTTCTTTTCTTTCTGCTAATGTTTCGTTTTTTTTTCTTTTCTCTTTTTCTTTTTATCATTAGATGTGAGAGCGAAGATGGATCAGCGATGGACGGTTAGGTTAGGTTAGATCTGAAGAAAATGTTCGTCATAAAATAAAAGTGCAACAATTTGTGGAAATAAAGAAGGATTAATAGTAGAGTTAAGTTAGGTTATGTTAGGTCTAATATTCGCGATTTGAATATTTTCAACGATGTTTCATTTTTCGTTGTATTCGTCCATCTCTCGAAGATACGACAATCGAGTATTTAAAATTAATCTTTCCCGAACACAGACGAATCCAATAATTATTTTTATTTAATTCAAAATTTAAATTTTCCACAAGTAGTAATTTGATTCAAGATCAATTCTCCAGCTTAATTCTATTGAAAAATGTAAGATACAATCCACTCACGTCTAACATTACCAATTAAGATGCCATATTCGACATAAACCGATCGAAAACCAATTCAAATCAAATCCGAGTCCACTTTATCGACTGGAAATTTCTTATAACGTAACAATTACCGA